AGAGAGAGAGAGAGAGAGAGAGAGAGAGAGAGAGAGAGAGAGAGAGAGAGAGAGAGAGAGAGAGAGAGAGGATTACACACACAAAACACAGACTGAGAATGAGTGGGAGGCAAAGCTCTACGCAATTGATAGTTCAAAACCGACTGGCCCCAGGTGATTTAGAATTTTTTGTTCTGCTCATGTGGTTGCATCTGGATTTGAACTTGGGTCTGTGTTTAGCAGCTCATGGGTGCGTCGACTGAGCTAGGACCACTGGTGCTGCGTCTGTGTTTCAATTTCTCATGTGTTGGTGTTTCTGTGCCCGCTAATTTGTAATCGCTGTCCAGGGGAGTACCATGTTCGTCCTCAGCATGGCATCTGCGCACAGGCTGTACCAGTCAGGGATCATTGCATCCCTTTTCCTTCTGTTCGTTGCGCCGCTTTTCCAGCATGCACTGTCCGGAAAAAGCGATGCGGCCCATCCTGATGCCAGCCAGTTTGCCACATGGAAACTTGGCCTGCACATGTTTACGGCTTTGGCACTGTCCTTGTCGACAGTGATGTTTACGGTGGTAGGGGCAGTGAGCTCGGCAGCAGCGGCTGCATTTCTGGTTTCCCATCCAGGCTTTTCCTACCACTCGATGCCCTACGTGGCTCATCCATGGCTGGTGATCGGGTTATTTGCGGCCCCCGCACTTGCAGGGGGCTTGATTGCACACAAAGCAGGACAGGTTGTTGTGTTTAAATACCTAAAGTGGATTGGACTTTGCCAACGCGGACCAGCGATCATGTCCGAGGTGGAAAGGTTGTTGTATAAGGGAGGGGTGCTGTTGTGGATGGTCATCCTCGTTGTGGCAGACAGGAACAGTCTGGGGTCGGCAATCCTTGCGTTTGTGCTGATGATGGCTCCGATGCTAACATGTAAGCTATGTGCAATTGCACCTCCGTTTCTTCTAGCCCTGTTCGCTTGTGTGTATCTGGGTGCGTTTTGTTTGGGTTGTGAATATCTGCAACTGATTCGTCGTCCCGGCACCGTCCTAACTAAGCTGCTCATACTCCCTGAAATGATTTTTTTTTTTTTTTTTTTTTTTTTTTGTAAGTTGGGGTTTTACTGAGTGTCCATTATGAAAAATTGTCAACGGCAAGCGGTCTTGTTGAACGAAAAAGAAGACCTAACATCCCTGACCTCAGGACGCAGATGTAATCCAACAGCCTGTTTCAGCATTGGGCGGGCCAGTATGCCAGGTTGTTCTGAGTGGGTCATTGAGGAGTCTCATTATACTTTCAAGTTCATGCTGGTTAATCTTAGGTTGCTATGGTTTAGAAGGTACCAAAAAAAAAAAAAAAAAGGTACCACAGCAAAAAAAAAAAAAAAAAAAAGAAGAAGAAGAAGAAGCAGCGCTTCGGGTTCACCAGCGGAGATATTTGGCTTGGGCCTCGTGGCTGGTTGTGTAAGTTGCTTAGGCTTTCCAGCTCATGCCAGGTGTTAGGAGCCGGGGTACTGCTCCCCGCATAGAGAAGAATAGGCTAGGAAGGCTGGAAACTCAACCCATAACCTTGAGCACCCCCTGGAAAAAGTGGACATATATGTAGGTAGGCAGGTAGAGTGGGGTATATGAGTGAAAAGAAGAAAAAGAAGAAGAAGAAGCAACGACAGCTGGAGAGAGATTGATTCATGGCAATGAGGATCAGTAACCCCCTGAACAATGTTGTGTTCGGATTTCTGAAAAGTCTCCAAACTATTGTAAAAAACCACCACTGGCTCCAAATGCGTTTCACGAACCTCAGTTTTGCCCGACCCTGATCTTCCAAACCACAGGCCTACCTGGAAGGTGGCAAGAGCCGGACTGCCTTTCACAATGGACCCTTGCTAAAAGTTGCTATCATAGTCCAATGGCAGACCTTCTTGGACACTGCAGTTTTTCCTAATGCCAACCTAGGTCTCCCCTCGGCATCCACTCTGCTGGCCCCTTGTATACCGGTGCAGCAATTCAAGAAAGGTGCCGAGGACAGTGGTGCTCTAAGACTTGAATGCATGCGTCTTGAGCAGGTGTTGTTCGAGCAAAGCCAAGTAAATGATAGCTCTAACTGTCACATAGGACGCATCAATTGCAGCTGCGGTTGGTGCATGTTTCTTTAGAATCTCTACTACGTTGTCAAGAAGCACAAGTCACAGCTCGACAGTCCAAAATGTGCAGTACATGTATGCAATGTGTAGGTCTCTATTTGAATGTGATCTGATGCAGTGGAAAGAGAGAAGAGAACAGGGTGGAAGAAAGAAGAAGAAGAAGGAGAGAGAGAGAGAGAGAGAGAGAGAGAGAGAGAGAGAGAGAGAGAGAGAGAGAGA